CAGGTGTCTCTCAGGAACCTGCTGATCTCATTTAGGTTTCCTAGCAAGCCTTTGAAGATAGAAACTTTCAGAGCCCACTAAAATGATGTATGCAGCAAGCTGTGACTCTCCCTTCGAGAGCCCACACCCACATTAAGGTCTGTCCTCACCCATGCTCTGGGGTGTGTCTTATCTGTCTATCTGAGCACCTCTCTTTCTTTTAACCCTTGTACTTAAGGCTTTCTTAAAATATCTTTATTAAACCCCAACTGTGCTTCATAAACTAGCTAGTCTTGAAATTCTTTTCTGCATTGAATCCATGAATCTGGGTTTGGCCTGAGTTGAGGTCCTTAAAAGTCTAGGGGAATTCTATAATTCTAGGGGAATTGACTGCTGCAGTCAACAGTGGGGAGCTGGGCCTCTATACCTGTCCCCCCCAAACTGGCATTCTCACGGGCTCCAAGTCTCCTGACGTGGCAGCTAGGGTTGCTTCAGGCCAGGGCTTTGCTTGTCCGTTGCTTGCTCTTACACCTTTACAAGGTGCCAGTTGAGCCTGTGACTGACCAGCTGTGGCCAGGTGCTGTGGACATTATGAAACGAAGCTTTTGGGGCCTTGAAGTATGGAGTTGAGTGGGGACTCTGTTGCTTTCCCAGTCCTGAGTGAGCACTGAGAAAAAAGTACCCTGTGGGTGTGACGTGAGTGAAGGAGGGAGCAGGAGGTGAAGGAGGACAGCTACCTCTGTGGGCCTCAGAGGGTCCCCAGTTTGTGTGCTGCAGTAATAAGGCTCAGGATGCTAGTGTTCAGATAGTCACTGAGCTGGTGACTTGCTCTCCCTACCCCAGGTAAGCAAGCAGGGGCAGCACTGCAGTTGAGGCCACAGCTGGGCAGATGTGGCTGTCAGGCCCTTCCTCACGCCACCCCCCATGGCCACCTCAGAGACACTGGGGGACGAACGCTCCCTGGGGTGTTTTTGTTCTTTTGTTTTCATACACTTTTTGAATCGTGTCTAGGAGGAGAGATGGAGGAATGGGGGCTTTGTACCTCAGCAAGCCTGGCACCACCCTGGCATGAAATGCTTGCAGAGTAGTGTGCGGCTTTGCTTACTTTGGAGCCCAAGTTCATAACAGAACTTGTCCTGTACAGGGCGTACATCTTTTAAAGGCCAACCTGCTGCAAAGGTACCTCTGTTGGGATTTGAGCGGTGACATCGAGGTGTCCTCCAGATTGTCCCCTCATGTTCCCCATCCCTCTCCTCCTTGCAGCTGCCTTTCTCTAATGGGTAGGAGGTGGCCAGTGCTGAGTCCACCAGGGAAAGAAGGAGCAGTTCTAGACTCTGGCTCTCACTGAACTTCCAGCCAGCCATACACTTTGCCATCGGTGTCCCCAGCCTGGGATCCTTCCCTCCAGCCACTCCCTTCTTTCTCTAGAATGACTTGGGAAGAGGTACCTTTTGGGCAGAGCATCCTGCCCAAGCAGGCTCAACTTTGTGGGGTGACCATTTTATCCATCAGTTCCTCATTTTATGAAATTAATGCTTCATGAGCCTCAGTGGGCATGCTGGACGTGGACACGTGCTGTGGGGACAGCAGAAAAGAACCACAGAAGGGGGTTCAGGTCAGGGTCGGGACTCAGAATTCAGCCCAATGTCAGTGAGCAGAATAGAGACTCGGTGTGTGCTGAGTGCTGGGCAGAGCCGGCCACATGCTGGTTTGTGTGGGTGAAGCCTGGCTGTGGTTGGGGCTGGGGATGCCTTAGTATTGGTCCCATTAGTGGTGACTTGACTCAATTCAGCTTCAGTTTCTAATTCTGTGTGAAGTCCAGGCTCTGAACGGTCCTTGGTATGACAGTTTGGTGGCAGAGCACTTAAGGCATGTTTTGTGAAAGAGATCAGTGACTGTGGAATGGGGTAACGGAAGTCGAAAGAGTCCAGGTGGACTTTCATAGCTCTGTGGTTTGGTGGCACCAGCCCCCTTTTCCAGATGAGGATCGGGAGGCTCACCTGCCCCAGGGCTGTGCTCAGGAAGGGAAGCCAGGACAGGCGCTCAGAACCAGGTCTACCTTGCTAGGGCTCCTTCACTGCCCTCATACAGTGCTCCTGAGCTGTCTCCAGTCCTTTTAGACTAGTGTGGGCCCTCGTGGACCCCACTCACTTTGGGATGAAGCTCCCAGACAGACACTTCTGCCTTGACCACGCCTGTGCGCTTGGACCAGTCAGTGCAGATCCAGTTGGTCTTGCTTGACAACCCCTGTGGCCGCTCCACTTACAGAGCCATAGATCTGGGCAGATAGGGTGCCTCTCAGGCAGTGGTCTGTTGAGCATGACAAGAGTCAGAAATACATTGATGACCCTAGGTTGGTTCATCTCCTTCCCTGGTCCTAACCAAAGCAAGTAATTGTGACTTTAGAAATATGAGTTCTAGCTGGGCATGGCGACACACGCCTTTAATCCCAGCACTCGGGAGGCAGAGGCAGGTGGATCTCTTTGAGTTTAAGGCCAGCCTGGTCTACATTACATAGTGACTTCCAGGACAGCTGGGACTACAAGGAAACCCTGTCTCAAAAAAACCAAAAAAAAAAAAGGTGAGATGAGCCCAGGACTAAAGGGTTCTGAGGTGGAGCCCAGGCCGAAAAGGCTGGCAGGGTGGGCAGGCAGGATGGCAAAGAAGGGGAAAGGCAGTGTGGTGGTGGGGGGCAGGTCTGGAGAAGGGCATAAACGAGACATGAGGCCGAGGGCAGGAGCATAATCAAATCTGGTGAAGTGTGGCGGGGGCTGCGTAGGAGAGGCTGCTGGGGCACACCACATTGCTGTTGTCTGGTGACTGAGCCACAACTGCCTCTTTCTGGAATAAAGTCCTGTATTTTGTGAATGTTTGCTTTGTTTTTGCTTTTAGACTTTATCTGTGAGTGTGTGTGTGTACAAATTCATTCGTGTGTGAAGGCTGGTGTGCACATGCTACGGCATGCACGTGAAAGTTAGAGGACAAACTTGGGTTTCGGTCCTCACCGTCCGCCTTGTTTCAGACAGGGTCTCTTTGGTTTTCCACTGCTTACAGTAGGCCAGCTGGCCCACCAGCTTCCAGGGATTCTCCTGTCTCTACCTCCCATCTCCCTGTAGAAGGATTACAAATACCTGTGGTACGTAGGGTTTGGGGGATCCGAACTCAGGTCCTCACACTTGCATAGCAAGTGCTTTTGCTTACTGAGCCATCTCCCCAGCCAGTGAATGGTAAACTGGAACAAGACTAAGTATCAGAGCTGGAGAGATGCTCAGTGGTTAAGAGCACTGGCTGCTCTTGCAGAGGACCCGGGTTCAATTCCCAGCATACACATGGTGACTAAAAACTCCATAACTCCAGTTCCAGATGATCCGATGCCCTCTTCTGACCTGCTCGGGCATTGCACAACATGGGTGCACTCACATACATGTAGGCAATACACTCATACACATAAAAAATGAAAAAAAAATATTAGAAGAACAAGTAAGTCAATGAGTGGTCCAATGAAGCATCCTGCAGAATATGCCCCTTCCTCTGACACTCCTGTTCTGGGAGGCCTATGGCTCTAGTGGGGGCAGAGTTGATGTCTGAACTCCTGTCAGTGTAGAGTGGTTTGTGGTCATCAACAGGATCATTGAGGCCTGTGGAGAGAGGACAGCAAAGTGGGAGTGGGCTGAGGAGCCAGTTCCCAATAGACTGTCAGGCCCTGCTAAGGGACAGACATCACCCTCTGGAACCTAGGGGAGCCTGGGGATTACAAGAATGAGATGGACACAATTTTGACTGAAGAAAGCAGCTCAGAGTTCCCCAGGACCCCTTAAGAAAACAGAAAGCCCTGAAATAATCATGGGGGAATATGGCTTCAAAGTGGGGTTCCCCTCCTCCTGGCTATGTTCAGCTGGCCAAGGTTCACATCACCTGTATAGTGTCTATACCATGCTGAATGTTTCTGGAAGTTTCCACTCTTCTCCTTCGGGGTGATTTAGGAAGCCTTGGCCTCACTCAAGAGCAAGCTCCCTCTGGAGCCACTTCCAGGGCCAGCCTTGGCAGAGTAGCGGACTCAGTGCACCCGCTGGCTCCTGGTGCTGCTAAGCTGAGTGAATGTGCCCTGTGGGATACTGGAAGGCAATTTGGGTAAATGTATGGTGCATCTATCTTTTTAAAACTGTGTGTGTGCGTGTGCGTGTGCGTATAGGCCGGAAGACAACCTTGAATGTAATCCTCAGGAATGCCAGCACAGTCTGTGGTAAGGCCTTGGACCTGGGTTCTGGATCAGTCCTATGCTGAGGGTCTGCCAGCAGCTTGGCACTCTGCCTACCCAACACATCCTCACCACTGAACCTGGCAGCCTGCCTACCCAACACCATCCTCACCACTTAGTTGCCATTTCTACAGAACGCAGGGTCTCCAACACCAGAAGGCAGGGTTGTTGCCAGTCTTGGTTTCCCCATCTGTATACAGAGGACGAAAGTCCCTCCCACGGGTTGTTATGAAGACTATGGCAACCTGGATATAGGCCCCAGGAGCTGGTCCAGAGATGGAGGTCTTACCTCCTTTTGAGACCCCCTCTACTTCCAGTGTTCTCTCTGGAGGAGTCAGGCCTGGGACGCTGGTCACTCCCCGGGTGCTAAGTCAGTGATGCCTGGCCAGATACCTGTCAGTAAAACTTACCTGTGTCCTCTGGACAGGAGACCGTGGGCCCCATGTGCATCTCCGACATGTAACCAGAGCGGGGGTGTGGCTTGTCTGCTCTGGTCTCAGAGCTGAGCTTTGTCCTGTCAGTACTGGCTAGGCCTTTGTTGGAGGAGCAAGGTGAGTGCTCCCACATGGGAATAGGTGGTTCACAGGACCAGTTAGCAGAGTGACTAAGCTCGTGCCATGTGCACTCACTACTGCCCTTCTGGACCTGGCCTGTCGTTCTAGTCAGGACCTCAGGAAACGGGCATCCTGATGGCATGGCTAGGGAGGGGGGTGTGCCAGGATGAGGGGCAGGTCACTCATGCCTCATTCTCTTCTCTGCACAGGGGGTGCAGATGTTGCCATAGAGGCTTGCTGTGCCGATGGAAATCAGATGGCCACCCAGCACAGGGACTGCTCGCTGCCCTACACCTCGGAATCCAAGGAGTGCAGGTACGTGTGCCATGTCCTTGCAGAGGAAGGTTGGGGGAGGAACAGTGTGTGTCAGAGCCCCATGGAGAGGCTGAGCATGCTCCTGGGGTGGGACCTGCTTCCCCATCTGTTGTTCCTTCTGTGCTTCCGAGCTCCTTGCACAGGACTTGGGTCACTGTCCTGGACCATGCAATGCTCACTGAGGCATCCATTCCCTTCCCTGGCCTGAAAGCAAGAAGATCTGTGTGGCCTAGTCTGCTGTAGCTGCCCAGCTTTGGGCAAGTCAGTTTGCCAAGTAGGGATAAGAGGAGATCACAGGACTGGAGGAGCCTGCCTACACATCCTGAGAACTCTGGGCCAGGCCCAGAACCAAGAGTCACCCACACAACTCCCCAGTTCATCTGGACTATTTGTATTCTCTCTCCAGATTAACTTAAGTCACTCACAAAATTTGGAGACTATAAAAACTTGGAATAAATAATAATAATAGGTAATGTTAGTCATCACCATACAAATACTATCAAGTCTTTACCTAAGGCCTGAAGAAATGTGTAGAATGTGAGGAAGAGTGTTCAGATTGGGAACAACCAGTGTGGATGTTCAGGGGAAGGCTGTGTGGGTTGACCAGACAGTAGTAAGGTAGCCAGAGTGTCTGGACAAAATGAGTGGGCCAGGCTGGGCTGGACAGAAGGACACAAAGCCAGAGGGAGGTGGGCTGTGGGGGATGGCTAACTTGGAGCAGGGCGAGAATCTGATGGAGACTTTGAACAAAGATGGGGGGGGCACTTCTGTCCAGACTTGTGTTTAAAAGGGACCCTGTATTGAAGGCAATTGACAGGGAGGGATGGATTGGCTGTTTAAAGGACATTGGGAGCGATTCAGATGGTCTGCAGTGGGGTGGAAGAGTGTGGCTGGTGGGGGAGGAGCTGGCCAGGGAGGTGAATGGAGGCAGGATGTCAGGCTGTCACTTCTGGGAGTAGAGTGGGATTTGGAGGGCCTTGGCAGTGACTCCAGGGGTTTACTTTGGACAAGAAGAAGTACTGGGGAGAAGGCTAGGGTTCTGGGGAGAGCGGAACCAAGTAAGGGGTCCTTGGACACCTAGAAACCTATAGGTGGGCCATTTGAGTCCTTGAGGGAGCGTGGAGAGAGGCCAGCTAAGAGAGAGCCAGGAGGAGGGGATGGAGGTGACGGAGGTGACGGCTGGGGATAAACCCAAGCACCCCGGGGTCCTACTCTCTGTGCCCAGTGAGTCCTCTCCCTTAAGCCTCATTAGGGCAGCACCCCCTCCCCCCCAACTCCTAGCCAGGAAGCATGTTTAAAGTAGGAAAAGCTGAGTGATCCCAGGGTGGCAGTAAGCTAGCTGGCTCTTTGCTTTCTCGGGGAGGTCTAGCTGGCATCTGCGCCTTTTCTTCTAACTTCACTGCCCCTAGTGTCAAAGTCCAATATCTCATTCATGTTTAAGGACTACCAATGATCCCTTCATAGTGTCCAAGGTCACCTACTCAGGGAACAGAGGCCTATGGGGGATGGGCAACCAGGTCCCTGGTGGCTACCTCTGCCTGCTCCAGCCTGGCTTGTGACACCCTCTTCAAGCCACTAATACTGAGGTCCAGTTGTACAAAGTCAGGGACCTGCTTCCAGGGGTTCTCAACCACAGGAGGGGTCACAGCCATGATGTTGCTTAGGGCTGTATAACCTTGGGGCCTCGCTGTGCCCATGGACTCATGGGCTCTTGTGACAACAGTTGTTCAGTGCTATGGTGGTGTTGTCCAACCCAGCAGGCAAGGAGCAAGGCTCACCAACCCAAGAGCCCTCGCCCCTGCTAGCAACAGCAGCAGCAAGAGGAGAACAGGGATCGGGAGCCAGTTCCTCAGTTCCCCTGTGCTGGTTCCCGCATGCACGTGCCCCAGAGTGCCTGTGGGGGCCAGACCATTTGGCTTGCATCCCTGGAGTATCCACACCTGACTAGCACACAGTAGGGCTGCAGACAGGGGCGTTTTGTAAATTGTGGTAAAGCAAAATTCATCACCTTAATTATTTTCGAGGGTCTGAGGTACATTTTTAGTGGTATAAGGCACATCCATACAGTCGCGCCACCCTGACCACTGTCTGTCTCCAGAACTTTCCCATCGTGCAGAACTGAAACTCTGACCTCATTAAACACTAACTCCTTATCCCCTCCACGGCCCCTGGCAACCCCCATCTACTTCCTGTCTATGAATTTGACTCCTGGTATTGGTGTAGTCACTCAGCTTGTGCCTGTGGGACTGGCTTGTCTCACTTAGCACTGAGCCCCAGGCTCCTCTGTGTGGTCGCGTGCATTGGGGTTTCCTTCAGTTTTAAAGTGGAGTCGCAGTCCATCCTAAGTTTGTGCTCATCCACTCCTTCCTCCGCTCACATTGGGTTTAGGCCCGCCACCTTTGGGCTATTTCGAATGGTGCTGCCGTGAGCTTGGGTAGGCAGTTGTCTCTTGGAGGCCCTGCTCTGAATTTTCTTGGGTGTATTCCCAGAAGTGGGAAGGCTGGAGCCTATGGCAGTTCTAGTTTTAGCTTTTTGAGGAACTCCATGCCGCTTTCCAAACAGCTGCACCATATTTCGTTCCTGCCAGCCACAGACAAGGCTTCCAGTGTCTCCCTGTCTTCCGCCAACTCTTGCTACTTTCTGTTTAGCAGATATTTGTTTGAATGACTGGATGAACACACATATAAAGATTCACAAATATCCCTCAGTAAAATGCCTCTGATCTGCAAGTCCACTTAGAAGCAGGCATAAAACACATTGCCAAACAGATGTGTTATCTGTTCAGAGCCCGAGGGTGACTGTGGAGAGACATGGAGAGCCAGGTGCAGACTTCTGAGCCCCAGGGTGGAGGAAGGGCAGGCTGGGGTTACTGTCCACAGTCTGAGGCTGCCTGGCTGGCAGCAGGTGGAGGCTGTGCTCTCTTGAGGACAGCACAGGTTAGGTGGCTCTTTCTGCCTTTGCTGACTCTGGATTTGGGTTTCTGCAGGTTTGGATGAGAGCCATCAGTGACACATTTCCTCCCTGCTGCTGGTGCTCTCTGGCCTCCCAGATGTCATGATCTGTGTTTGAATCTTAGTTCCCAGCTGAGCCTTGCGGGATTGGGGAGGGGGCTGGCACTGTGGTTGCTCCTGTCTCCCACTCTAGGGCCTTTAGTGAGTTATACTATGGAACATTCTGAAGCTTTCCCTTCAAGCCTGGAAAACGGGGGTGAGGTTGAAAAGAACTGGGCCAGGAGGAAGGACGAGAGGGAGGATGGGAGGGAGGGTGTAGCCTGGAACCAGCAGTAGGCTGCTTTGTTTGTGGACAGCTTCAGGCATTCTGTACAGGGGCTCTCAGCTGTTCACACAGTGGGGTCTCGACTCGCATCCCAGACACTACTGTTCATTTGATCTTCCTAACTAAATACCTGTCACCTGCCAACCGCTTCCTGAAGGCCAGGCACTGTGTCTGTATTCCTGTGGGAACTGGAAAGGAGATGTCCCAGAGGACATCATCCCTCCCCAAGGGCTTCTTCTGAGCCCTGTGTCCTTGGCTCCAGCAAGAGCCTTGGCACAGCCCCTGCTCTGCCCACAGGATGGTCCAGGAGCAGTGTTGCCATGGCCAGCTGGAGGAACTGCACTGTGCCACGGGCATCAACCTGGCCAGTGAGCTGGATGACTGCACCACGCTCCCCAACTACAACAGCAGCCTGGAGACCATGTTCGTCAAGGTGAGTGATGCCGAGGGCTGCATAGGGTCAGCACTGGCCCTGTGCGCCAGCAGACGGGGCAGCTCTGTGCCTCATCACCACTCACCTTGTATACCTTCCCTTGTGAGTGTCAGAGGCACTAGTCCAGGCGGGAGGAGGGACTACAAAGGTGTCCTATCCTCTGATTTAGTAGGGTTAGCCTTACCAGCCAAACTTCCAGATGGGAAAAGATGAGATGGTAAAGGATCACGCTCCCCCAGCCTTCCGATAGAAGGCAGAGGTCAAAGTAGAGGTTATCTGAGGCCTTCAGGATCTTCTCAGTTCAGGATATGCACCCCCATACTACCTAGAAAGTCCTGATTGGTCTTTGTCCCCCCAGCTGGGGCTCAAAGCTCACAGTGGACCCACACTAGGGCCTCCGTTAAACTAGGGGAAGACACTAGCATTCAGAGAGGCCCACACTCCACCATGGCCTCTCAGCAGCCCTGTCTGGGACTCAGAGGAGATTCTTCATAGAGTGTAATCTGGGCAAGCGGCAGACCTTCCTTTCCCAATTTCCCCTAAAACAACTGTGGAAGGCATGTACCCACACCTGGGCATGGGTGACTGACACTTGTAGGTCTGAACATCACAAATGGACCAGTGAGTCCAGGTGCTACCTGCCAGGAGAAAACCCAGCAGGGTAGAAAGCTGGGTTTGGAAATGTTCCTGGTTCCTGGTGACTTTGAGCAGTGCTGACACAGGGGCTTCCTAGGACCCCGCCCTTTCCCACCAGGAAAGTGGTGGAAGACTCAAGGAACGAAAAGTCTGGGTTCTGGAAGGGTGCGTGGGTGTCTGCACACTAAGGGAGACTGCTCCTGGGCCCAGGACCCTGCCCACCACAGCCATAAGGTCTTCATGGAAAGAGGCACTGGTATTGGTCAAGGCCAGAGTAGGTAGCTTGGTTAAGGCGTGCCTGTCAGCCAGGATCTTAGGCATACAGTGGCCACCTCCCTGGGCAGGCCTGGGCTCTGCTGACGCTCAGTACTTGGCAGACAGCTGTGCCAGGTCCCTAGACTCGAGGAAAGAGAGGTGTGGAATAGCACAGAGCATTCTGGCAAGAAGTGGGAACACATTACCTGGCTGAATTAATGACGTGTGTTTCTGGAAAATATTACTCACACCCCCAGAGGAGTGTGGCCACTGGAGAAGACCCCTCAACCTTCACAGCTGCCGAAGCAAAGCCTCTTGCTGTGAACTTTCTGGAGGGTTCTGTGTCCTGTTAGGACATCCATTTAATAAGGACTGATCTGGGGCTTTTCACATGACCCTCAGGACCTGGGTTAGGACAGGTAACTTCTGGACTATGGGGTCTAGGTAAAAGGCGATCGTCTCGAGCCTTCCTTGGTGCCTTGAGGCTCTTGTGCCCAACCCCCAAGCTCGAGGGGACAGACAGCCATGCATTCATTCAGACAGAGCAGACCCTGGGGCCTTTTCAATTCCTCCTGGAGTTGCTACTCATGACAGGGATGTCCAGGGGGCAGTACCGCAGCAGGAGTGGAAAGGGGAATGAAACTCCCACTGGGTGCTAGGCCCTGTGGGCTCCTTTCAAAACAGACACCGAAGGTTTGGGGGCCTGGTGTAATGCCAACATGTAGATGCATTACCTACGTCAGATATGCCCTCACCGTCTGGGGGACATGAACAAGAAGGTGTTGGGTGTATCCCTGATTCCCGGTGGGCTCTGATGGGCCAGTTGTTCGGCATCTCATCTGGAATCTCTGTTAACAGAGATGCTGCCACTGCTGCATGCTGGGAAGGGCGGCTCAGGCCCGGGGCCAGTCCTGTGAGCTCAGCCTTATGATCAGCTACCAGTGTGGGTTGGTATTCCGTGCCTGCTGTGTGAAGAGCCAGGAGAGTTCAGACATCCCTCGAGGGGACAACATGGACTTTTCAGAACCAGGTAACCCCTCTCCCCTCTCTCTGGATCCAGAGTGTGTCTGTATGTGACACCGTTGAGTGTTGCATCCCTAGATTCAACTAACCACAGATTAAAAATATTGGAGAAAAGAGGGCTGGGGAGATGGTTCAGTGGTGTAGTGCTTGCTGTGTAAACATGAGAACTCCCAATATCCACATAAAACTAGGTAGAGTGGCATGCGCCTGTAACCCTAGGACTGGCGGGGATCTCTGGAGCTTACTGGCTAGCCAGTCTAGCTAAATTTGTGAGCTCCAAGTTCAGTGAGAGACCCTGTCTCAAAAGACAAGGTAAGAGCAACAGAGGAAGATTGGTCGATGTCAACCTGTGACCTCCACATATGCAGGTGTGGGTACACACACCTGCCTACACATGTGCACACAACCCCCATGGCGTTGGGTCCTGGGTCACATTTTGATTTTAATGTTTGGAGTTATGTGTCACATGGATGCCTTTAAGCTGATTTCAGATGTCATAGTCTGAGTCATAGTTGGGACCACATTTCTGCTCCCCCAGCTTTTGAAGTCAGAGATGTCTTCACAGTGGACAGCCCAGGCCATTTACCCCGGGGCCACTTCCTCCTTCCCAGGCTTCTTTGCTCTTACTCTCTTTGCTTACCTTTACCTGCTTCCTGCCTGGTTCCCTCTCCCCTTCCTCCTCACTCCCCACTTGCAGTCACAGATGGACCTCCTGTGTGCCTGTGGCCCCTCAAAGCATTGGGCAGACCTCCTAGGGCCTGACAGACTAGTAGGGAAGTTGGGACTAAGCATTCAGAGAATGCTGGGAGCGTCATAGAACCTGTGGGGACTTGAGGGAGTAGGGGGGCCTTCAGTAGAATCCGTGGGGGGCATTATGGGTTGCCCCATAATCATAGGCCCTCCTACGTACCTGCTATAGGCTTTGTGGCCGGGTCTGCATTGATAGCAAGGCTGCTAATTTACTTGCTGAGTGCCGAGCCATCTCTCCAGCCCCCCAAGTGAAGTTCTCTTTAACAAGGATGAATACAGGGTGTTCTTCTGCCCCGTGCTGATAGGAGAAGCTATGTGGCGTTTCTCCTACAGTGAGCTTGGATGCTGCTTGAGTGACCCTGTCTTGTCTCTCTGCTCCTAGCTAAGGTTTCTGAGGCCGAGGAGGAACAAGAAGATCCGTACCTGAATGACCGCTGCCGAGGTGAGACCCCGGGACCTTGTCCAAACCTTTTGGTAGCTAGCAGAGCCCAGGTGACAGTCACTGTGGACCACTGCCAGGCCTCAGCTGGAAAGTGATTCTGCTCTTGAGGCCCCAGTGGCCTCCCATCTTCTCCTTCCCTGAGTGTTCAGAGCTGGGTGCCTCTGGGTGATGGTGGCCCATGGAGGTAGGAGCACTTGAGAACCAGCAAGCTCTATGGATGGTGGTGCTTCCCTGAGGCTGGGGTACCCCAGAGGAGCCTTTGTATCCCTGGAATCCCAACCAGCCCCTTAGATTCTGTGGTCTCTCTCTCTCGAGACCTTTGCACTTAAGTCAGTGTGGCCTTGCAGCTTTGTTTTTACTGATTAAACTATTTCTATGAACATTCTGGCACATCTGGACTGGCAGACCTGTTCCAGTTTCACTTAGGGGCTCACCCTGTGGCTGGAGTGTTAATTAGGGAGCCAGTGTAATCACAGAATGGCATGGTCAGCATGCAGTGTCAGCCAGCACCGAGGTCAGGAGGGAGGGAAGAAGGACAAAAGCCCCAGGGAGCCTGGAGGTCTCTCTGGGGAGCCACAGAGGATTCCTGGGAGAGTAATAGACAGTTTGCAACAAATGAGGGTGTGTTAGCCAGGACTGTGACAGGTGTGCCCCACACCCCCAGACAGGCAGGGGTGGAGTGGAGCCACGCACAGGCCAGTCCCAGTGTGTTTCACTTGAAGCGTTCCTGTGACTGCTCTGTTGGGAGTGTGGGTCACAGGGCACAGGGGTGGTGTCTAGGATCCTCAGAGAGAAACCAGGCAGGAGGAAGCCGCAGCTACAGCCATCAGTGGAGCCTGGCCAAGGCTTCCCTCTGCGTGGAACCCGTTCCCTCCATGTCCCCCATTGGCAGCTTGTTTCTCCAGGTCCACTCTAACCCCAGAGGTGCCCAGAGCCAGAGCCTGGTGGTCTCCCAAGGCTACCGGTGGCTACAGCGGGGAGCCTGCTTCTGTGTTGGTGTGGCCTGTGTGGGTGTCCCAGTACCCCACCAGCTCACATGGGCTCTGATTGCAGGTGGTGGGCCCTGCAAACAGCAGTGCCGAGACACTGGAGACGAGGTGGTCTGTTCCTGCTTCGTGGGTTACCAGCTACAGTTGGATGGGGTCTCTTGTGAAGGTAAACGTCTGAAGACTGGTTGCTGTGCTCCATTCCTAGGTGGAGGATGGTTGAGACCTGCCTTTCAGTGCTGCCCAGAGTTTAGGCTTCTGGATAGGGCTGTCTTCCAAGAGACTATAGATACCAGTTGTGGGAAAGGGCTGACTTTGGGGTTTACCTGGGCTCTGGATCCAAGACCTGCTGAGTGGCCTTGGGTAGGTCCTTCAGCCTCTCCAGTTGTCTAGGACATGGGGACCATCCTGCATCCTTTGTGGGGTTCTTAAAGATTCCATGACTCCAGGGCTCAGGCACTTAACTCAAAGAGCAAGAGGTCTGAGCCGGGCATGGTGGCGCATGCCTGTAGTCCCAGCACTTGGGAGGCAGAGGCGGGCAGATCTCTGTGAGTTCCAGGCCAGCCTGGTCTACATAGTGAGTTCCAGGCCAGCTGGGGCTACAGGGAGACCCTGTCTCAAAAAGACCAGGAAAAAAAAAAAAAAGAGCAAGAGGTCTGAACTTACCAGGGTTTGGTTAGCCACAGCCCCACTCCACAGTGAGACTCGGCTCAGTTTGATTGGGCCACTTGATGGATACAGGAAACCAGATTCACGAAGGCTTCTGGAACATTCCTTCTGATCAAGCTTCCTGGTTACCCCTTCGTCACTTTAATCTCTCTAGATATCAATGAATGTATCACAGGCAGCCATAACTGCCGGCTTGGAGAATCCTGCATCAATACAGTGGGCTCTTTTCGCTGCCAGCGAGATAGCAGCTGTGGGACTGGCTATGAGCTCACAGAAGACAATGACTGTAAAGGTATTACACACCTGCCAATCTAAAGCTGCCTCTTCCCTAGATGTGGGTGTGGCGGAGAGGGAAGGGTGCATTGGGCTCCACAGTGCTGCCCCCATGTGGCTCTGCAGGCTATTACAAGAGGGAAGCAATTGACCCTCTTGCCCAGTCCATACCCCAGGGCAAGTGCTGGCATATTTGGCTCAGAAGGCACGGAGCCTGATCATTGAAAAGCAAGACCAGGGATGCTCACGTGTACTTTCCAACAAGACCCAAACCAAACCAAAAAACACAAGTGTCTTTGCACAGCAGCTGCCTACCATCTAATTCCAGACTTCCATGTAGTTCAAGAGCATATCCCCTTCCGCTGCATAAAAGCAAAGCCCTTCCCCACCCAGCCGTGAATGTTATTTGGCAAATAAGACTCTGGGGAGGATTTTTTAGAGTGTGCTTTCCAGCCCTCCCCAAGGATAAATCACTTGCATAAAAAATGTTGATCATTGAATTATGTGGATGACCCAAAAGCCAGATACGTTCTCCTAGCAACCAAGCCCTTGAGCAATCCCGCCACCCCACCCTGCGCTGCTCACTGGCTGGGCCTCTGGACCTGGGAGCCCAGGGGCTGGGCCAGCTGAGTATACACACTTGAACCTTTGACAGCCATAAACTTCAAGGCAGGGCAATCCATCATGTTGTGTTCTGATGTAACCATTGCTAATATTTGGAATATCTTGAAGACTTTGGGATGAAAAGGATTATAGAGACTGTGTTTATTGTCACTAACATAATTGTTTTATGATTTAATCTAAACATCACTTCTAAATGAATGATTATCTCTGTAAGGGAAATGCCTGGGTTATTTGTTGCATAACAGAAAGCTTGCCTCATAAGTCGGGGGTGCAGCATTTTAAGTCTTTGGCAGTTTGGCACAGCTCGGTTCATTGAAGTCCTTTTCATCACAGCCTCTTTGTTGGAATGTTTTGTGTTATAGTCTGAGAAATGAGCAGTAAAAAAATACTATCTTGTGATGTTAAAGTGTTGTGAGATGCTTCTGGCGGGACTGTTGCTAACCATCTCCTTTTTTTATGATGCACCAGATATTGACGAGTGTCAGAATGGTATTCATAACTGCCCCCCCGATTTTATCTGTCAGAATACTCTGGGATCCTTCCGTTGCAGACCCAAGCTGCAGTGCAAGAGCGGCTTTATACAAGATGCCCTAGGCAGCTGCATTGGTAAGACACACTGCTGGGGTGGGGGTTCCACCGAGCAAGGGACAGTGCATTGGTAAGACACACTGCTGGGGCGGGGGGTTGGGGGAGTCCACTGAGCAGGGGACAGGCAGTATAGACCAGGGGGAGGCACATAGCAAATGCTGCACGCAGCCCAGTCTGGGTCACGATGACTCAACTCAGCAGTTACAGTTCAACAGCCACAGTCTATATTATATAAGGTAGTGAGACTGTGTTCCAATAAAACTTTATTTATAAAAACTTGGTTGGCTTGGTTTGGCTGAAGGGCCTTAGTTTACTCCTCTGTGGTTTGGACGAAGGTGATGTGGGATGCTGAGTCAGAGACTCCTAAATCTGAACTGAGTGGACTAAGATTGACCTTCCTCTGGGCCTCAAGTGCCTCCCCTATAAAATGGGAATGACCCATCTAGATGAGCGGCTGGAGCTTGTGATGGAATGGGTACATAGGCAGCTTTTGGTTCATGGTCTCTCCCTGACACACAGCCACTTAGTCCATTAGAAACTCTTTTATGAAAATTCTTGGTGCTAGTGACTGAATTCATACAGACAGAGAATAGGCTGGTGGTCACCACAGGCCCAGGGATGGAGAATTAATGGTCAGTGGAGACAGAAGTTCAGTGTGGGAAGGTGGAAAAGCTCAGAGAAGGCTGGGTAGTGAGTCTGGGAGAGGCTGCAAAGCTGCTCAGATGGAAGGGACACCTACCTTCTCCCTGCAAAAGTGCAGAGAGGGCCTTTTGTCTTAGTGCCACCTGGGGCACTGCCTGGCTGTCAGCATTTCAGCCCAGATCTGCTAGGTAGGCAGGAGTTTGAGGTCAGAGAGTTCCTTCTAATCTAAGCCGCAAGTGTCATTGATTGGAACCCAGCCTCTCTGGGAACCCCCACCTCCCGCCCCCCAAAAAGAAGGCTAGTAGAACTACTATGTAAATTTCTCTTATTTCTGTCCTGACTCTTAAGATAACACTGTCCTGGTCTCTTCTTTGAAATGGAGCTGAGAGCTCTTTTCCCCTTTTCAGACCCTATCGTTTTGTAACAGTAACCCTGGGGTTTTGTCTGAGCTCCACCTACACAGCCTGGGTCTCAGCCCAGGCAGAAGCAGCAACCTGGGGTACAAGTTGGCCAGCCTCCAGCCATCAGACTGTCATTACACAGCACAGGAGCAGTGAGCAGGGAGGCTTTGACTCCCACAGGGCAGGAGGAAGGAGGGTTCTGCTCAGACTTGCTGCCTGCTCAGGGGTTTCCGTGGAGGAGGCTGCCTCTACTGAGGATAGAAATCCTGTTTCGAGAAGACCTTTGCAGGTCTTAGTATAGGCCTGGGTCTCCTACCACAGTGCAGGGACTGAGGTGCAGAGCAGTGGGCCATCCGTCTCTACCCCACTCCACTCCCCCCCCACCCCCCACCAGATCAAAACCCCAAAGAAGCTCAGGATGTTGGCTAGATCCTAGCCTAGAGGCACATCCTCTCCCATCACCTCTGTAGGTTCACAGTAATGTTAAGGGCCAGAGGGTCAGTGGTCAGAGTCCCTTAGCTCAGCACGAAGGAGGAGTCCCCTTTGTGTGCTCTTACCTTCACAGCCTTAAGGACATATTTTTTTAAAAAATTGTCTCTTTTTTTGCAAGAACCATGCATATCTTATTTACAAACGAGGAAAACCTAAGAGCAGAAAATCAGCTCTCTGCCCCACCTGCCTCCAGCTCGTCTGGGCTGTCTTCCTGGGTGCTGTTCCGTGTTTGTTTTTTCATGGAAACAGGACTGAACTGTTCTGTCACTTGGTTTGCCCCACTTGACAGTATGTTTAAAAATCATTTTATTGGCCGGGCGTGGTGGTGCACGCCTTTAATTCCAGCACTCGGGAGGCAGAGGCAGGCAGATCTCTGTGAGTGCAAGACCAGCCTGGTCTGCATAGTGAGTTCCAAGACAGCTGGGGCTACAGGGAAACCCTGTCTCAAAAAGACCAAAAAAACCCACCATTTTATGTCAGCCCTTTTGTTCATTTAAAATAACATCAGCAGAAACAGCTCTCAGGAGAGAGTATCAAAATATAGGAAAGAGCTGGACACAGTGGTGCACACCTGTAATCCTAGCACTCCAGTGAGTCTGAGGCCAGTCTGGGCTTTATAGTGCTTGAAGACCAGCCTGGGCTACATGCTGAGGCCCTGTTTCAGAACACCAAACAAGAATTAAAAACACAGAAGAAGGGCACAGCCCACCAGGAGAGATCTTCAGAGTCTCTCTCCATCATTGTGTGTCCTGGGCCTACAGCCCACACGCTTTTGCCCATGCTCCCCCACCAGACTAGCACAAAAGACAAAAGATAGTCGGGGTGAGAAAGTAGAGTCCTTCTCATTACAAAATGTCGAATTTTCTAGAACTTTGAGCCTGGTTCCTTAACACCTTGAGGATGTCTTTGCTGGTTTTCTTGTTTTTCTCTTTTTCTTTTATATTTTTCTTGAATTTAGCCGCTCTTCTTCCCTGATTCCCTAGTGAGGAGGATGGATGGGGCCAGAGCAGTGTTTCCCACGTACTGGCCCACAGGTGTCTGGGGTCTTCACAGATCCTGGGACAGTAAAGGATTTTTCAGAAGTACTTAAGACAAAGTCAGCTAGTCATGGTGGTGCATGTCTTTAGTCCCAGCACTAAGGAGGCAGAAGCAGGCAGATCTCTGTGAGTTCAAGGCCAGCCTGGAACTCATGGAGCTCAGAAGACCCTGTATTTTCCTCTCTGAGGAGCACACAATATCAAGGGACACCAGTGTTACACAGAACAGTTCGGGAAATCTGGGAGGAGCGAGGGTGGCCATCACTACCCACACCGCACTCACTCCTGACAATAGGCAGGGGCCACCCAGTTCTTTCTGTAAAGGGTTAGATAATGAAGATCAGATTTTCCAGTCATCTGGTTTCTGTCGCAACCACTGGGCCCTTGTAGTTGTAAGAGAAAAACAGCTGTAGGCCACATGTGAGGCAGTGCGCCTGGCTGAGTACCAATAAAACTTTATTTACAAGAATAAGCAGTTGGCCAGATTTGGCCAGAGGATGTTGAGGCAGGAGACTGGCAGTGTATGGAAGGGTGGATGACAAGGTACTAGAGCTGGGCTCTGTCGCTCCTTGCCTCGTGCTGTGAGCCTGGGGTGTCGCTTACCAGCTCTTGTTCCTGGTTTCCTAGTATAACCTACAGATAGTATTGCCAGCCCTGTCACCTGCAGACTGCCCATCGCAGTCCAGGGCAGTAATGGATGTGAATGCTTTCATAAACTTTGAAGTGCTGTGCTGTCCATGTGGAGGTCAATTCCAGGGGTGGGAGGGAGTGCGGGCTGATTCCTCAGACTCCCTAAGGAAGGTGGGGCTTTGCTGGTATGGAGCAAGCCCTTCTTTCTGGCCAGCTGGGAGTTTTCTCCTATTATTAGTACCCTTCATGCTATCCCTCCAACCCCCATGTGCTTTGGAAATGTGTGAACTAGGAGGCTTTTGAAGGTGACTTGCTGTATTAGGAGATTCAGTCTGTTTGGGCACAGAATTTTCACATAAGGAGCAAACTGACATATACCCCAGTTGTAAACTGACATGTACCCCAGTTCTTCTTGGGTGTTTACTGATACCTATTTGTGTGTGTCCTTCAGTGGTGAGTGGCCAATGTTCCCTATATTGGAGCTGTGTCCACTTGAGGAAGGAGACTCTGTGTGGGAAGCCCTTGAGTGACACCACTTTCCTGGCTGTCCTGAGACAGCCCAGATGAGAGATGCAGGAAGGTGTTTCTGTGAAAGTGATGGTCAGAAGCTTAGCTACCACACTGACTGGGGTTGGGGCCCAGAGTGGCTGGTCCAAGAGCTGTAGATGTGTTGCTAGGGCTCTGACTGATGAGGCAGGACCCAGACACTTACCAGAAGAGCCTAGAGCCTCATTGGGGTATCGGGTTGGTGCAGAGGGACGGGGCACCTCTGGCATCAAGCAGGGCCCTGTCTACCTGTGTGAATGCCAGATGAGGAAAATTGGCCTAGCAGGTGCAGTAGAAGATGGAGATGTTTAGGGCAGGGAGAGGTACAGATAGGGTCTTGAGGCTGCCTCGTGGTTCAAGGTAGAAGGGATCAGGACCTCTCGTGTGCCTTTGCAAAAAGAAGGGATGAGTCCTTTGAAAGTTCAGTCGCTGTGTTCGTGAACACCCTCCACGTTTAACCACGCTGTTTCTGTCTCTTCCTCTATAGATATCAATGAGTGTTTAAGTATAAGTGCTCCGTGCCCTGTTGGGCAGACATGCATTAATACAGAAGGCTCCTACACATGCCAGAAGAACGTGCCCAACTGTGGCCGTGGCTATCATCTCAATGAGGAGGGAACCCGCTGTGTTGGTTGGTATCACAAAAAGAAAACAATTCTGAACTCTGACTTTTCTGTCGTTTCCAGCACACACCTTCCCTTCTCTAGAGGGAAGAGGAGGTCCCCAAAGTGAAGGCGTTTCTGCCTGTCTATCCATTCCATCGTCCCTCCCCAGGCACAAGCTTTTGTTGTCTTGCCTAGACAGGTGTATTATACCAGTGTACCCTCCACCCCTCCAGCCTTGTCTTCTTCAGTCTGTCCATCGCTTCCAGCCCCTTCTCTCAGGCCTGCACACAGCCTATTGATGACCAAGGACAGATGCTCACAGTTTAGTTCTCCTGAACTCGCTCCAGCTTCACCAGCTTATAATCCAGAGGACGTGGGTCTCACTACTTTCCAGACAACACAGGGCCATTGGGTGGGGTTTGGTCTTACTCCAGCCGCCAGCCTGCTCCTTTTGTTTCTTTGGGTACAGGCCTATCAGCCTGCTCAGGTCCCTGCCAGAGAAGGGGCCTTCCTCCCTGAGGCTCCCAAGACACTCTTAGTATCCTCCTACCCCCAAGTCCTGGATATGTCCCATCTCACTGGGGATCATTGCTGGCCCATCACAGTGGGTCTCCCTGAGGGTCAGCCGTCATCCCAATGTGGACTCAGAACATACATGGTAGATGCTCTGTGAAGAACAGGGTGCTCCTGTCAGTGAACAGTTTAGTGGGCACACTGAAAGTTTTTCAGCCTGTCTTCCTTTCTCCTTCACAAGATGTGGACGAGTGCTCACCACCAGCAGAGCCCTGTGGGAAGGGACACCATTGTGTGAACTCCCCCGGCAGCTTCCGTTGCGAATGCAAAGCTGGGTACTATTTTGACGGCATCAGCAGGACCTGTGTGGGTATGTGGGTCTTTCAGGCCTTGGGGGTGCTGGCCAGGTGACATCACCAGGGCACGGTCTATGGTACCTGGGGTGACCTCGCCTATCTCACCATTCTCAGAAGGTCCCAAGTATAGGCAGTCCCAGAGGGAAGGCCCCGAGTCAGGAGACCCTGGCTAGCTGTAGCTTTGCTGGTACCCTGTCCTCTGGCCACTTGCAGGACCGTCAAGGGATGAGCCTGTCCTCCCGATGGAACAGGTGTCCTGCTGTGCTGTTTGACCCCATCCTCCAAGGGTGTTCAAGACTCCAGGTCTACAGTTGGCAAGAGTGTGTGGTTTTCAAGATTCATTGCAGACCTGTAGGGCCTGGGGTATGCACAATCATAGCAAGAGGAGTGGGGTCAGACCCTACCTGACCAGCACTTGCTGTTACCCAACCAGGGTACTCACTAAAGACCATCAACTGCCCCTGCCCATCATCCCCTTTAACAAATCCCAGTGAATCCTCCTGTGGCAGTGGACAGAAGGCTGATGGTAGGGCACCTCCACAGATCCTTCTGCAGTGGGCAGAGGAGGTGGGGGGCAAAGGCCATGAATGCATGCCATTGGCAGAAGGTGGGACATGCCACTACCCCAGTTTGTATACCCTGACCGCCCCCCAGTGGGTAAACCCCCCCCCCGTGGATATACCCTGAGCCCTCCCCCTGCCCCGTTTCAGATATCAACGAGTGCCAGCGCTACCCTGGACGTCTCTGTGGTCACAAGTGCGAGAACACGCCAGGTTCCTACCACTGCAGCTGCTCTGTGGGCTTCCGGCTATCTGTGGATGGCCGGTCCTGTGAAGGTGAGGGCGTGGTGTGGGGAAGGCTGGTGGTCAGCAGCCTTAGCCATGTTCCTTCCTCTGCCCACAGACTCAATTGGACTTTATCAGGCAGGTGTTTTAAGGGGGTTGAGGTCCCCACTCTAGCGTCATGGCCTTAGACCAGTGGCAGACATGTGGAAGCTTGGCCAGTCTTCCAGTCAGGGCTTTAGGGTGTTTGTGAGTCTTGCTGTGTGCAGATAGCAGAGTATCCTGCCTTATCAACTGTGACTGCTGTCCCTGGCTTGTGTTTAGGTGTCTGAGCTTATGTGTCTGGGCAATCCTGAGGGCACAGTTTTGGAGCCTGACCAACCTTGCCCCTACCATGCATCATTAAACACAAATGGATGCATGGTTCCTGTATCAGAGAGTATCCAAGATGTCATGAGAAACCACACTGGCCTGGCCACATATTGAGCAGGGGATAAGACCAGTCATATGGGGGCCACAGAGCTGAAACACCGAGTAAGAGGCTAATGGCCTGTCCCTCCTGCCCTGCTCAGAGTTAGCAGTAAATGAATATAGAAAGTGACCTCTAAGCCAGGGGTTAGCAAGCTTTTTCTCTACTAGCCACTCGGTGGCTAATAGAAGGCTTTGTGTCCAGTCTCTAGACAGTATTCCACTCTGCTGGGGAGCACAAAAGTTACCATAGGCCCTTGTCCAAGATGCTCATGACTGGGTTCCAATAAAACTTTATTTATGACAAGTGGTGGGCCAGATCTGCCCTATAGTTCTAGGTGAAGGGAATTGGTGAGGAATAGCTGAGTTGCTAAATGGCCCCTGAGCTCAGAGTTTGGGAGTACCAGGAATATTATCCTCCAGGCTGCATCATCTATGGGCTGTCATCTGGGAGATGAAGTGGGGAGGAAAGGAACAGATTTCCATGGAGAATTAGAAGGGACTATGGTCATGATGGGTCTCCAGATGTACTGTCATGTTGAGCCTGGGCCCTGCAGGAACAGAATCAGAAATCAGAAAGAGCCAAGCCTAGAGGCTGGTACTTCCCATATTGGCAGGGGATGCTTTGGCTTCAGGCAGGCAGAGGTAGGTGTGAGGAGAGTCCAGGCTCTTCAACCACAATAGGAGGGAAAGCCCCTCTCTCTCTGAGCATCCCCAGCTTTGCACCTTCGATCCCCACCTCTTTGTGGTTTTTTTATTTTTATTTTTTTTCTCTTTTGCTCTTTTTTGAGACAGGGTCTCCCAGTAGCCCGAGCTGACCTGGAACTCACTATGTAGACCAGGTTGGCCTTGAACTCACAGAGATCCGCCTGCCTCTGCCTCCCGAGTGCTGGGATTAAAGGTGTGCACCACCTCGCCTGGCTCCTCTTTGTGTTTTAAGTCAGGGAGAAAGTGTTTTGCTCAGACCTGGTCCCCAGCCAGGTCTGCTGTGGAGGCAGGGACCTCTGGTATCGCTCTGAACCATAACCCCCAGGACTCTCTTCTATTTCAGATGTGAACGAGTGCCAGAGCAGCCCCTGTAGCCAGGAATGTGCCAACGTCTACGGCTCCTACCAGTGTTACTGCCGGAGAGGCTACCAGCTCAGTGATGTAGATGGGGTCACGTGTGAAGGTGAGGGCACTTGTGTGCTGAGGGAGCATCCTTGATCTTGCACAGTAGCCTTTGGCTGCATTTCAGAATCCATGACAGAGAGCCCGCCAGTGTTTCTCCACTTGGGGAAGTTCCCATGTCCTCCCTTGAAGGCTGGGCTGGCTTCTTGCTTCCCCTCTGATAGATGTACTTGATGATACTTCACTGTGGTAGAGAGGGAGGTTAGGAAAGGAGCAAACCACTCCATAGATTGTTCTTAATACACATGCCATGCTGGTAACCGCTGGATGTGCTGAGACCCTGAACCACAGGTCATAGGGCTTGGCAGCAGCATGTGGCTAAAAGGTGAGAAGAGTCTCAGGGACACCCTGCCCCGAATCCCAGTTCTGCCCCTGGCCTCTTGAGTTCCTTCCTCACCAGGCCTGGCTGCATTCTCCTCTGTTACATGGAGAACCCCTCCCCGGGCTGTTGGATAATCCAAGAGCGCCTGGGAGCAGGGTCAGCTGTTAAATTGTTACTGGGAGTTGAGCCTCTCCAATTCCAAATCCAAAACACTCTAAAATTGTGTGTGTGTGTGTGTGTGTGTGTGTGTGTGTGCGCGTGCGTGCGCGCATGCACATGTGTGTATGTATGTGGTGTGCTGGGGATCACACCCAGAGCTTTGTACATGATAAGACAGTGCCTTTCTGGGCTACAACTCCACCTCTGTAAAATCTGAAACTTGTTGAATGCTAATGTGACTCCATAGTGGAAAATTCCACACCACCAGTCACAGTCAAATCTCAGGTGCACCAAAAATACTATTTAGAAATACTCTATGTGTGCATAAAAAAAATGGATTATGGGTTCAGAGTTGTCTCCCATACCTCATTATGTAAGTGGAAATATTCCAAAGTTCAAAACCATCTGAGATATTTTCAGTCCCAAGCCTTTCAGATAAGGGATGCTTGACCTGTATTTTCATGTGAGATGTGGTGAGTTTTGTTTTATGTTGATTGATTGATTGGTTGGTTGGTTTTTTGTTTTGTTTTGTTTTGTTTTTAGCACATTGCCCTCCATTCACCTTCTCTGTGCATAATTCATACCATGCACTTGCTAAATGTCCCTAGACTGGTCCCATCCCCTCTCTGGGCCTGTTTCCCCTTCTATAATTAGGGTCTCTGAAACCAACCCCAGCCTCAGGCCCTGCGGCCTCTCCCTGGCTTGCTCCTGATGTTGTCCAGCCTGGCCACCCAGAGATACAACTTGGCCTAACTGTGGCTGTGGCCAGGGCTGCTCACTGACGGAGGGCTGTCCTCTTGCAGATATTGATGAGTGTGCCCTGCCCACTGGGGGACACATCTGCTCCTACCGCTGCATCAATGTCCCTGGAAGCTTCCAGTGTAGCTGCCCCTCATCTGGCTACAGGCTGGCCCCCAATGGCCGCAACTGCCAAGGTGAGTGAGGAAGACTCCCTGCACCAGGGTCACCCAGGTGTGTTGCAGGTTCCTCAGTGTCAGGGGAGATGTGCTTCCCAGATCCAGGGGCTGTACCAGTGGGGCGCGTTCAGGGAGGGACGTATCTCGGTCTGCCATATCCAAGTCCGCAGCCTATCTTCAAGATTGTCTCAGCTCCTTGAAGGTCCTGACAGGCAGGAACACCTGAGCCCTCCTACTGTCCTTGGCAGCCCCCAGGAGACGGGCACAGGGACCCTCATCCTCAGCCTCATCTTCCTATGCAGCCTGTCATCCAGTCACCAAGTCAGTCCCTGGGTCACAACAGTGAGCAGGTCTCAGTGGCCTCTGCCCCTATAAGGGGCTGGATGTGCGCTGGCAGGAGAATGCAGAGTATTTGTACTAGGGGACACTAGTGGCTGTGAGGGTCTGGTAGGTTGGGATCAGCTCCAGCATGGACTAAGTGATGGGGAAATCCCACTTTCTAAGAGCATGCTGCATAGGGGATGCATCCTATGATCATGCATTTGATCGCTGAGGAGGTGCTGAGGACATGCTTGTGAGCAAACGATTCCACGTGTGCACTCTGTCTCACACCGTGAGTCAGACTGCAGAGACAAGGCTATCCAGCCCCTTCCTCATGAGTCCCCGTGGAACTGCCAATCCAGGGACTCCAGAGAATCCTGGGTCCTCTATACATAATTTCTGGTCATGAAGAAAATGACTAGTGATCCCAGAGCTGCAGGCCCAGGAACAGGCAGTTCCCTGGAACTCTCTGGTCAGCTAGCCTAGCCAATTGGTGAGCACCAGGTTCAGTGAGAGATCTGCCCCCTCCCCCAAAATAAGGTGGAGAGTGATAGAGGAAGACACCTGACGTCCACCTGTGGCCTCGACATATGCATGCATACATACTCATACCCGCATCAACCTGTGTACACAAAACACATATACCACCACCAACAACAAAAAGATGACTAGCCAAAGGCAGGCAGAGGCCATGGCATCCCCGGAGGGACTCAGCTCCTCTGGGTTGGACAGTGCCCTTGTTTCCCCAGTGCTGCCTTCCCCTTCCTGGCCCACCTCCCTCACCACAGCCTGGGATCCTGCCCAGACGCACCAAAAACACATTCCTCTCAAGATAGCTCATTGGGTAAGGGCACATGTTGCCAAGCCTGATGACCTGAGTTCAGTCCCCAAGACCCACATGGTGGAAGGAGAGAGCCGATTCCTACAAGTTGTCCTCTGAGCTTCACATGCATGCTATGGCACACACATGTGCACAGACACACGTGTGCAATTAAAAAAAAAAAAAAAAAAAGCAATAGCAAAACAAAATGGAAAAATCCCTACATTCCTGACCTATGGACTCTGATGTGACACTTGGTAACAGATACCTCCCAGGCTTAGGGATGCTCTCTGAACCCCACCACTTGGTTGCTCTGGTGTGTCATGCAAGGGGCTCCCCCACCTCCAGAGACATCTCATTAGGGTGCCCCAGCCTCTATAGCAGGACCTGGTCCCCATCTGACTACTCACTGCCCTGAGACCCAGGGCAAGATGCACCATCCCTTTAGGCCTGTTTCCTCACCTTTGAAATGGGACCAGAGGCTCTAACCCTTCCTATAGCAAGTCACACGTTGGGTAAGAGTGACATACATGCATAGAGCCATGGAAAGGTGCTGTTTGTTGGAGATTCTGCCAGCTTGGGTTCGAAGCTTGGCTCTGCCAGTTAGAGGATGTGGGGCCTTGGGAAGGTCCCCTAAAATGAGGCTCACGACAGCACTGTCTCATTCGTTGTCATCCCTGTCAACATTCTAAGGACCTTCACACCACGTCTGCTCTTGCTGTTGTACACTTCCAGTCCAGGGATTGTGAATAAGTTAGTGCTATCATAAATCTCAGGGTCTGATCAGCAAAAGAGCTGGCACCTGACACTACTCCACCGAGGGCAAGGATGGCTTGATCCCCACCCTGATCCCAGTTAGTGTGCAGCCTGGGTAGGTGGGGATGGTTCTCCTAGCCTTGGCCTTCACACTGTTTCTGGGTCTCTGCAGACATTGACGAGTGTGTGACGGGCATCCACAACTGCTCTATCAATGAGACCTGTTTCAACATTCAAGGCGGTTTCCGCTGCCTGGCCTTTGAATGCCCTGAGAACTACCGGCGCTCTGCAGACACGTAAGTCCCTGGGGTCTGTTGTTTCCGTGCTGAACTTCCTAAAGGCCCAGCTCTGGGCCTGGATAAGTGGTTCACAAGCTGTGACCTTAGTGTCCTCTCAGTGGGCCTCAAAAACCTGCTGATTCTTGGTTCTCAGGTCTCTATAGGCTGGTGAGGCTATCCTCAGGTGGCCATGGGGGTGACTGTACCTGAGCCTTGGTCTCTGAACATGCTATCATGCTGACATGGGCCTCAGTTTCCTCACATGTCAGAATATACTGATTCAGAGGAGCAGTCAGCAATGTCTCTGTATTGGTCGAAACAGGAGCCAGCATGACTTGCTAAGGGCATCAGTATTCCATCCAGCTGCGCAATGTGTGGGAATAGTATGGACTATCCCGTGTCCTACACTTGAAGCTCTATGGCCATGTTCCCTTGTAAGCTCTGGTGACCATGATGTCCAGGATCCCTTTCCTTAGGGAGTCCTGACTACTCTCAGGTCGTGGGTCTGGCTTCACTCACCTCTCTTCCAGTTCCATGAGAACCTCATTTAGTATCACTTGCGTCAGGGAAAGCCCCGTGCTGGGAGCCAATTCCAAGAGTATGGACTCATGCCTCCTCCTCCTCCAACATAGAAGTGCTCAATGTAAGCGCATGGCCTGGCAGCCTGGGTTTCCAGCTGTGGCCTCTTAACCTTGATCCTGTCTTGGGCTCTTGGCCAGCTTCCATTCATACTCCGTGATCAGTGTTTACTTTTCGTGTTGTACCAGATGCCAGGCCTCAACACGTGACCCAAGGGACAGCTGCTTTGGATATCGGCTCTGACCAGTTGTCAGCTCGCTTCACCCTGGCAACCCTGTGTTTTTCTTGACCTTGGGGCTGCCTGCTTACCATCTTGTCCCCTGACCTCTGTGTTTCCCCAGCATGTTTTTATCCACTTAAACACTCCTAGCACCTTGCTTGGAATATTGGTGCAGGCCTGTAATCTTAGCACTTGGAGGCAGAGGTAGGAGTATCACCAGCTTGAGGATGGCTTGGGCTACATAGGGAGACCCAGTCTCAAAAGCAATGTCCGACCCTTGTTTCTTTCCATGGCCTGGGTCAGGGAAAAACCACTTCAGAACTGGGTTTCTAAGTGTGTCACGTCCCAAAGAGCTCATGGGCTATGCAGTAGCCTGGCTGGCTGTAGCAGAGCCTGTTTGAGTCACTGAGAAAGCTATACGTCTTTGGTTTGAGGCTGTGCTATTTGTCACTGTGAGTTCACTCACTGAAAAGTCTGGGTTTCAGGATTCCAGAAGCTGGCTGTAGTTGTGATGGCAACTTCTAACTCATGCAGCTGCCAGACTGAAAGAGGAGGCTTCCCTACATGGGGTCAGGACATCTCCTGAGTCTGTGGGTGGGCATATTGACCTTGCTCACTGAGGTTGTGGCTATGGTGGGAAAGCTCAGGTCCACTCTGATACTTGAAAAAGTCTCTGCTGCCGGGCTGACAGGATACATGTTCCTGGATAGACAGTGGTCCACAGAGGCCTGTCCCCTGGGCCAGCTTCTAGAAACACATGCTAAACAACAGCCAGAGAGAGGGAGTCCACCTGGCCAGGGGAGAGATGGGCAGATAGACTGGTACAGGCCAGGCTTGAGTGAAGGTCAGGGGTGGGCTGGGTATCCTGGCATTGACCAGGCTTGAATCAAGGGGGAGCTGAGTTAGATGTCAAGGAGAGAACACAGACCTACCTGCATGCACTGAAATACAGGGTGTTCTCAAGAAACCCGGGATCTATTTCCTTCCTGGTGGGTTGCCAGGTCAGGTGTGATCTGATCTGTCCTGTCCACTGCTCCTGGGGCTGATGAAAAGGAAACTCTCCCATTCTTTTTTTTTTGGTCTTTTTTGAGACAGGGTCTCCCTGTAGCCCCAGCTGTCCTGGAACTCACTATGTAGACCAGGCTGGCCTTGAACTCACAGAGATCCGCCTGCCTCTGCCTTCTGAGTGCTGGGAATAAAGGCGTGCGCCACCATGCCTGGCATCTCCCATTCTTATAAGAACAAGATGAACGTGTATGCCCACCAGCCATAGGGATGAGGGGTAGGGAAGGTGATGTGTCAACGTCTCCTGAGTGATACCTTCTGTCTCCCTCTCAGTGACGCTGAGCATGTGAGCAGAGGCTGGGGAGGAGCATGGAGCGGGGGAAGTCAGAGGACCCGGCACTGAGGATCCTGCCTTGGGGAAGCTCGGGCAGACTACCTTGGGACTGCTTTTCTCCCAAGACTCGAGCCTTGTGGGAATGCTGTGGCATTCTAGAAAGATCATAGCTTTGGTGTCAGGCTAACTTGGGTTTCAGATTCCTGGGCTTCTTGTTCTCAGCTGTAAGAGGGGGTAGTGGTGTTGTCCTCCGAGTTTCTTGAGAGTAACCCATGTTTGTGGGGGCACAGCTCCCCTCTGCTTGTTTTATGTAGCACTTGTCCTAGGTTCTGCCCTGGTGGGCAGGGACAGGCATCTGAAGACTTTCCCACCTTGCAGTATTGTTGGAGTGAAGGGATGGTGGGGCCTCAGTGGTTCTGGTATCCAGGTCTGAGAGTCCATGTGGGGGCTAAAGAGATGACTCAGCAGTTAAGAGCACTGGCACTGGCTGTTCTTGCAGAAGACCTGGGTTCAAATCCCAGTACCCACATGGCGGCTAACAACCGTCTGTAATTCCAGTTCCAGGTGATCCGTCACCCTCTTCCGTCCTCCTTGGACACTGTATGACACAGGTGCACTGACACACATGCAGGCATAACTGTCATATACATAAAATATAAATAAATAAATAAATAAATAAAGAGTCCATGTGGAGAGTCCATGTGGAGAGGGAAGGACCCAAGGACCCAGGCTGAGATATAGAAACGCTGGGCTTCTGGTCCTGGCCTTTCCAAGTGCTGTGGCCTTGGGTTAGCATTGGGCCACCTGGGTAAGGTGGTATCAAGCTCACCTGCCTGGTCCAATATTGAAAATCAGAGGCAGCAAGCCCAGCTCAGTGCTGGCCCAGACTGTCTTGAAATGTGGTAGAGATGAGGTAGTGGGCCACGAGTCTCTTCCTTGGGTACATCAAGTCAGAAGACAAAAGTCCCTTTGAGTGACACTCTCGGCTCTGCTGCTGGCCAGTGGGTGGCCGGGCTGTATCTAAGGTCATTCAGCTCTCAGATGGGGAAGGCTGGGGTGGGCGTGGTTATGACTCTGTGACCACCACCTACACAGGAAGCTCACTGGTCACAGCTTTCTCCTTTGATGGCCACTGATGGCTGCTATTGAGGAGGCCTGATTCAGCCGAGAGACCAGTGTTAGGTGTAGGAAGTGAAGGCCTAAGTCTCCAGTGGAAGGCTTTACTTCCGTTGCCCACCTAGTCAGGGGAATTTTAGGGTGCCCCCAGCCATAGTGTGAGCTGTGGGGACAGGTCACTAACGAGGAACAGTTCCCTCCCACCTCAGGGAGGCCACATGGGCAGGAATGGGCTAGTGGCGCAGATGAGGAGAGACTCACATTCCTGGCACACCTCACATGGCAGGTTTCTATTTTATGACTTTTTTCTTCCTCATCCAAAACCCAGGCCTCTGAAAGGCCTAATTACCTGACCTTTAAAAAGGAGCTGTTAGACCACATAAAACTGATGTGGTAGTACACACCTAAACCCCAGCACTGAGGAGGTGGAGGCAGGAAGGTCAGGAGTTCAGAGTCATCCTTGGCTATATAGGGAGTTCAAGGCCTGCCTGGGTTACATGAGACCGTGTCTCAAATTAATAATAATAATAATAATAATGGGGTTGAGGAGATGGCTCGTTGGATAAAGCACTTGCCCACGTCATGATGACTAGAGTTCGGATCCCCAACACCCATATAGAAAGCCAGGTGGGCCTAGCAGCGCACCTGTATTCCCAGACAGTGGATCGACAAAGCAAGCTGGATAAGTAGACGAGCCAAATCGGGGGACCCTGGGTTCAAGTGAGAGACCCTGCCTCAATATATAAGGTAGAGAGTTATCAAAGAAAACACTAGGTATCAGCCGTGGCCTCTAGATGCACATGCACCCACATATGTATGAACATGCCTACATGTATGCACACCACACACACATATACACAGAAAGGTGGGTGGCTCTCCTAAGGTTAGAGCAACTTGTTCTGGAACCTCTAGGCAAGATATGGGAATCGGTCTGTTCTCCATCCTCCTGTCTCCCTCTCTTTGGGCCTCAGGCTCTCTTGCTTCCTTCTCTCTGCGTAACATTCCTGGCTCCCTAGGAGCCTGACCTAGCTAGCAAGCAGGAGCCATAGAGAGCAGTCTCATGGGCATGCCCAGGTGGCTAAGGTGCTGACCACAGAGTGAGTGCCTGCTACTCAGGAAGTGTTCAGGGCTGTCTCAAGCCTTTGATGGGGCTGTAGACATCCTCTTTCCCCCTCTGTGGAGCCTCTTCTGGTGGTGTACAGTCGTTGGCATGAAGCTGGGTGGCCTTGGATGCTGTGTCTTAGGAAAGAGGTGAACAGCTCTGGCCTGCAGAGGTCAGGAGGGACCAGGCCAGGTCCTAGCTTCTCTCAGAAATGATGATAGTACATAATGTGAGGAGAATGCCAGTGATGCCAGAGTGTGGCCTAGCAGCCTTCCTCTCAGGAGACGGGAATGGGCTGTGAGGCTTTCCATCGCCGATCTGTAGTGACTTAGGTAATTTTCATAGAATTTGAGGTGCTATGATCAAAGATGTTGAACTGGAAAATCCAGGCATGTTGTCCTCTATTACATGTGTGAGGAGGGAATGTGTCTGTGGAAACTGTGAGCCTGGTCCCTATGCTGGGCAGGGCCCAGGCCTGGCTCCCTCCCTTCTTCCCTGCTTTGTAATAGACTCAGTGGTGATCACCCTCCCCCCATCTGGACACATCAACTAACAAAATTCAATGTCATCACTAGTCTGACAGGCAGTTTGCCACATGCAGTGGTTATGATTTCTGAGATGTTATGATATGTTTGGGGCAGAGCAGGAAAACAAGGACCAAA